CTCATCCTCTCACATCAAGAGGGTCGTTGAAACATGCTGTCATGAGGGTGACCAAGTTCCGATAAAACCCGTCATAGAGATCCTGAGACAGAAAAGGAAGTGATATATATATTTTAGACTGTATAGAGACATTTTGGTTTAGTTACCAAAGAGTTTGTTTGGATGAATTGGTTCATCACGTGTCATTAAAATACCAAGACAGAAAAGGAAATGATGTTACTTTTGCTTGATATAGACATTTTTGCATCATCCTTAAGAGGCTGCTTCCGACAAGATGGTTTTAGTTTCATTGAGATACTGAGACAGAAAAGGAAGTGATATATATATTTTAGACTGTATAGAGACATTTTGGTTTAGTTACCAAATCATTTGTTTGGCTGATTTAGCTTGATGTAAAATATCTCTTCACATGATATTAAAATACCAAGACAAAAAAAGAAATGATGCTACTTTTGCATGATATAGACATTTTGGCATCATCCTTAAGGGGCTTCCTCCGACAAGATGGTTTTGATGTTATTGAGATACAGAGACAGAGACAGAAATGATGCTAGTTTTGCATGTATTGGACATTTCGGCATCATCCTCTGACAAGATGGTTTTAGTGTCATACAAACTGTCAAAGGGGAGATCAAGCACCAATGATTGAGATAATCATCAGACAACAGAAGTGACACTGCCTTAGGCAGGAGATAAACATTCAAAGATACCTAGAGCATATGCGACAGTCATGGATGTATACTTAGGAAAGGAGTTATGCAGGGTTGTCAAGAAATTTATAATTATGGTCAAGTATAAAGTAATTTCTAGAGGGTCATTGATATATTCTGTTTTGAAGGAGACCAAGTAACCCATACAACTTGTCATTATATTGAAATGCTCAGAAAAGAAACGTTGCCGTAATATGCAAGAGATAAATACCCTTAAGTTTATCTAAGCCAAATACTAAGTAAAAAGCTTACATTTTTTACTTAAGTTTTGAATTGAATATGGGCCCAGGAGACCATCTTGAATTTATTTATTTATTTATTTTTTTTGTGGGGGGGGGGGGGGGGGTGTCAACTAAAGCCTTGATGAATATTTAACCTTTAGTGTAGCTTTTTGCTTGTAACTTTTGTACATAATGCTGAATTCTCATACATGAATATATGGATGATTTATGAGCGATAACTTGGTATCTCTTTTGATAACGATGTTCCTGGGTTCAAAATTTTATAGTGTCACTGTCACTGCACAGAAGGGGGGGGGGGGCTGGAAGGAACTGCTTTCAACCACTACACCCTCCCCCTTTTTTCAGACATGCAAAGCTTTCAAATGTGATTCACAATGAATTGTTGTAATTATGAATCACGATTTACTCACGAATGAAGAAAAACACCTTTTCAACACAGAATTGCTGTGTATGCATTGTACAGCTGTTGTATTGAAGTCCACAAGTTTGGGCGTATATCTTTATTACAAATTCATTGACAGTTGAAATTGCTTTGCAAATTCTAAGTAATAAATTAGATCAAACTTTTCAACATTAATAAAAAGAGAACAATTGTTTTAATAATTACCTACATTTGTATTGATCTAATTTTGACAATCATCAAAAAGCAGCATGAACAAAGTTTTAAAAAGAAGAGAGAGATATATGCTTTGCTTTGTGATATATATAGGGAGCAGTTCTTGAAATATTGAATCTTGTTTGGGAAGATCATAATTAAACATGATTTTAATGCAAATATACCTCACTAAAGCCATTACATTGGACCAGTTACAAAGTTGTAAATAATAAAATTTATTTTGAATGGAGTTAATCTCTATAGGGCTCAAGGTAGTTTGACTTGATGTTAAAGTAGAGTTTTATATTTTGAAAAAATATCTGCGTAGTAGAGTTAACTAATTTAAAAGGGTAAATTTCAACTTGCCAAATGGATAGTGATAAAAGCATCTTTGTGTTGAATGTAAATATTTTGTTACATTTGTCAAAACTATAATTTTTTTCTTGTAGAGTTACTGTGTATAGCTTCTTGCAAGGAAGTGTTCCGAAAAGAAATTAAAAAATTGTTCATTCAATAACATTTTGGGATACTCTCAGTAAATGAATCACATGTAACTGCACCTGACCAATCATCTGATAAGGATCTGGTGAGTGAGATGTTTTTAAATGAAATGTTTATTTTAATATATTTGTCCATTTTATGGCTGCTTTCAGAGTTCCTTCCATCAAACATGTCTTTCAATGTCAAAGTCTGAAATTATTTTTTAATGGAATACAACAACTTTTATTAAGTTTAAGAATAGTCAATTGTATTCTTACCAATTTTTCCTGTTTCTGTCAAAACTGATAGCTGCATTGATATATCTTTGTACAGCCCTTGTTGGGTTATAGCAAAGGATGAATCAGTAGATTTTGTAAGAATTTGTTTGTCAAATGATATGATTATTGCTATTTAGATCATTTACCATTAACAAAAAAAAAGTCAAAATATGAATAGATCATAGTATTTTGATATTTTAGCACTAACTTAATTATCTTAGTTGACGGTTTTAACAATTATAACATTTGTCAGCAGAAATTTCACTTCTTCCAACAATTTGCTTGTCTTTCATTATCTTCAATTCTCATTATCTATCAATTTCATTTGCTCAACGTCACTTGAATAAATCTTCCTGATGAAATTCTATCTTTTATTTGCAGCCACTTTTCTCGTGTAATTCATGTACATCCGTCTTCATGTTAGGCTATTTATCTGTTCATTTCCTTTGCAATGCTTCCCAAAGTTTAAAGAGAAGGTTGAGTTCTGGGAAGAGGTGAAAAATAATTTGTGAGCATTACTCATTCTTATTATGCAAGTGTGGAAGAACATCAGTTAAGACATGTTCCCTGAAAAGCTTGGCTCTTCAAATGCCTTCATATTCTAAATATACATGTAACATCGTAAAAATCGGGGGCCGGCTTTTTACGCCACGTGTTCGTGTAGTCCCATATACATCTTTCTGTGCAAGTGTTTGTAACTTTACCAAGACTTGGCCACATTTCTTATCATTTTGATGATTCCAGAACCTTGCAATACACACAAATTCTTATATGCTAGATGATCAACCTTTTCTGGTCGGTTCCACACCGTTTCTTTCACAATGCAATCGCATGACCAGAACTCAACTTCATCTTTAAGTGTAAAGGTTACTTTAAAGTGTACTAATCACCTGGAGGAAAAAAATTGTGTATAACTAGAATGTACAAAATCAACCTCAAAAACTTTTCCTGGTATTATATAGGTAAATGGTTGGAGTCTGAAGAAAATAAAGAATAACATTAATAATAATAATAATAATAGTGTAAACCTATAGAGCGCACACACCGTCCAGGGACGCTCATGGCGCTAGCTCAGCAACAGTTCTCTTTGATACAAGTAAAGTAAATAATTTTGCAATATTTATTTATATAACCCATTTCAATCTATAGCATGGAACTCCTTAAATGTTGTACACCAGGAGCAAACATGCTGGGTGATTGGTACACTTTAAATGAAACATTACAATCATTTCACTGAAGAGTTATTTTTATTATTTTTGTATTTCTAATTTCTAATTAGAGTATTGAATAACATCATGTTTGACGGCCAGTAAAGAGTAATTCCCCTCCAGCAATGTTTATAGTGATATCTGTTATTTTTAACTGATGTACATGTTATGATTTCTATGTGAAACATACCTAATACAAACCTAATATAAAAGTGTGAAATATTAACTGTTTTGTATGGAGTTATATGTATCAAACTAATTTCATTTTTGTTTATAAATGTGTGTGTCAGATTAATATGTTAAAGGCAGTGGATATCAATGGAAAATCTAACTAATTGTGATGAAATATTGTACTTTATTCTAAATGTCATTTTATGTATTATGAAATTAGAAAGAAATCAGAACGTCCGGTGTGTATATATGTATATGTATATATATAAACATCTTTAAAATGCTATTTTCTTTGTTTGTGTTCTATTTTATGATAGGTATTCACTGAATAATGTTCCATAAAACAAATGATATTTTGTAATTAATGTCTTGAGCACGGAGCCAGTGAGAAAGAGAGAGAGGGAAAGAGAGAGAGAAAGAGAGAGAGTGGGGTGCTGAGAGCAAAGTGAGTGAGGAAAAAAATAATTGTATTAAAAATATTACATCATCATAACAATTGGCTGTCTGAGGATTTTCAGGCAACCCCATGACAAGAATCATCCTGCTAGAAAAAATGACACTTTGATCTAAATTTTTATTTTGATCATCAAAATTCACTAGCTTAGATATAAAGAAAAAACATAGTTTATAAACCTGTATATGTGGGCACCTACTAGTTATATTGCTGCTCGACTATATATATATATATATATATATATGATTTTCAGGCCCCAAATATGATATTCAAGCATGTCACTATGTGAGGTTATAGTTGCTCCATGAATTTTGAAACTCTAAAAAATCATTTGGGGAGCTAGCCCCGCCCCCTTTCTTTGGTAGGGCACTAGATTATTATTAAAACATTTCCGGGGCTGGTGGGGGCAACTATAAATGCTCACCCCCTTAACTGAAGTATTGAGAATCTCTCCTCTCTGCCCCCTGGTTCCAGCGACTATGTATCTATTCATTTTTATTCATTCATGTATTTATTCGTTTTTGTCATGTTTTTATTTAGTTATTTTATCAAATCACGACATTACAGTTCAGAGCAAGTTATGTCATGCCGCTTGATAAGCTGTTGTCATGTTATGATTATTTATCTTTAAATGAAAGGGACAAATACATTTAATATCACATAAAACATTGATTTTTGATAATCTGGACCGATATTATTTTCTCGGCAGTGTCTTTTTATTCAAACATTCACAATAATATACGTTAGGCCTAATTGATTGATATTTGGCATTCCATACCACCGCATCTTGTTGTCAAGTTGAGTTCTTTCGAAACAGTAATTTAGGGAGCTCAGAAATTGATGAATTTTACACTTCTTCAGGAGAATATATCTAGATGAGATCATGTCTCGTGACTGGGAACGCAATTTTACTAATACCATGAGAGAAACAGAAGATAATCTAAGCCGAATGAGGGTAAATGTAACATTATTGATTTCCGAGTGCGATGTGATGATGTGTGTTTTGTGACGACGTGATTATTATGTTGTGCATTACCGGTAACCCCAGGGCCAGGGAGCGCCGATGCCGACGCCAAAGCGGTCGATCGGAGCTCCAGAACCCACATAGCCATAGGAAAACGATTCAAATTAAGCCTGAGTTATTACGGTTTTTGTGCTAAGCGTTAAACCGTTAAAAGTATAAGGGCGGTTTCGTTTAACCGTTTTGAAAATACGCATATTTTTACAAGTGTGTAAATTCTCAAGGCTTCAAGCATTCAGTTATTTCGATGAAGACATAGATCTATGTTATTAGATCTCCGCAGGGGCAACAAAACCTTGCTGATAGTTATTCTTTTTAGATCTCCGTAGGGGCAACAAAGTCTCGCCGATAATTATTGTTTTTAGATCTCCATAGGGGCAACAAACCCTTGTCGATAATTATTGTTTTTAGATCTCCGTAGGGGCAACAAAACCTTGCCGATAATCATTGTTTTTAGATCGCCAGGCATAAGGGCAACAAAGTCTTGCCGACAAATTTTGTTTTTAGATCTCCGTAGGGGCAACAAAACCTTGCCGACAAATTTTGTTTTTAGATCTCCGTAGGGGCAACAAAACCTTGCCGATAATTATTGTTTTTAGATCTCCGTAGGGGCAACAAAACCTTGCCGATAATTATTGTTTTTAGATCTCCGTAGGGGCAACAAAACCTTCAAAATTTAACAAAAAAGTTAAATGATTAACTATGCATGTACAATTTCATATAAGAGTGCATTGATTTTTTGGAGGTAAAAGGCTCATAAAGTAATCATTTAAAATGTGTACCCTGATTGTAAAACTACCCAAATCGATCTGACTTTGTTTCAGGGGTCTCTTGTGGCTAAACCCAACAACTACTGTCAGGCTAACAACCTTTTTGTTAACGAATAGATAATTTGAGTAACTTTGAGGGGTCATATCTTATGGCTTAAATGGGTGACTACCAGTATTTTGGGACAGGCTCTCAGACTAATGATTTGTTTGTTGTTGCCTGGAAATAGATGATACTTTAACAGCCTTATGATTTCTGATCTCATTTAAATTGCATTATTGTATTTCATCATAATTTAAACTAGGTTACTGCACTTTGTCATAATTTGCTTTAATTTCTCTATAATTGATGTTGATAAGTGTTATGAATATTTCTGTTCTTATTTTGATATTTCTTTAGTTCATCATTTATCTGTAATTTTGATGTTTTAATTATTACTGTAAAGCGCATTGATATTTTCTCTGAAGATGAAATTCACTATATAATTCTAGGTTATTATTATTATGTAGTATCATGTACCTTTAAAAAAAATACATGTTACAGTTACCTTTTATTCTGTTCATGATTTTTAAATAATCTTTTCTTTCATCCTAATATATCAAATAGAATCGCCTTGATCCAGCAAGGTACAAGCCCATAGACAGCACTCTCATAGATTCTCCTCCAGGTAATTGACATTTTTTAAATTGAAATTGTTTTACCATAATGCAATGGTTGATATGATTGGATTTTTGGGATGAGCTGTGGAAAGGTAACAGAGATGATATTACCTGAAAACAAAAGTTGAACAAGTACAATTATATACAGGTGGAACAGTATTCATTGAGGCATTAACATGCTCAATGTCCAACAACAGTCAAAACGATTGTAAATTATGGAATATTATACTTGATATGTTCTTGGACAACAACAAGTTCAGTGGGAGATTCACAGTTATTTGCAGAAGGCATCACAGCTTCACTTTAGGAAGATGATCTGATTAGATTTTTGGATAATGATAGCAATAATTAAAAAATATGCTGAAAGCATTTAGACTTCAGGTTGTCTATCGATGCTTCCATCTAGGAAGCTTATTTGTTGAATTACAAGGACATTTTGATTTGAAAAGAGAACAGTGTTTGTTCGGAGAGAAAAACAGGAGTTGTCAGTGTATGTTCATTGTTATAAATTTCACAGCAATGGTAACAAGCTTCTGGTCAAATGTGCGGATGTGATAATTGCACAAACAGCAGAGGCATAATAGTGTACTGCGCTTACCGGTAGTCAAATAGCTCTTGTTATGTTTGTGTCTTTCTTTCTCAGAGCCAACAGAGCACTTAAGCAATGGCGTTCCAAAGATCAGGCTGAAAAACAACAACAAAGAGCGTCCAGTTTCGGCCATAATGACGAGTACCTCCCCAAGTTACGAGTTGTACCGACACAGTGCACCCTCTACTGGGCTGGTAGCACTTCTCTCAGAGAAAGTGGAGAGACAGAATAAGGTAGATACATGTAGGACTGAATTTGAACATTTAAATCATAAAACTGTCTTCAGGCATCATTAGTTTTGACAATGAACATAGTTTTATGTTGCCAAATATCAATATTAATTCTTTCATCAAATTGCTTGATTTATTTTTATTTTATTTTAATAAGCTTTAATAACAAAGAGCTACTCACTAACTTTTGATGTTAGTGGGTCATGGGAAGGGGGGAAAATAACAAAGAAGAACCCCTACCATATAATCTTTATTAAATACTTATTATTTTTTTGATGGTTTACATAATTTCTCAGGGATATTTTTACTTCAGAACGTTGTTGTCTATAAGACTATGGGTTAGAGCCTAATCAAAATTTTGGTTTTGCTTATCTTTGCTTTACATTATGCTATGAATGCTTTAGGAACTATGCTTGTACATGGCCTAAGGGCGTTAGTTCCCCATTTCATTTCTAAATTTGTTCATGAATAATTTTGTATCTTTTGTATCAATGTAATTTTAATTGAGAAAGAAATAAATGTGAATTCAATTCCAATTCAAATATTGTCCACTTGCTAGGTTAATTCATGTTACCATTGGATTACATTGCCTCCAATATCTAAGAATTGGTCAGTTAGGAGTCAGGTTAGTGATGTGACTAAAGTATTATCTAGGGTTGTTTTGAAAGTCTCATCATAATAATATCTCATGGATTATCATGCTCAAACTTAATTTAAATTTGCATTACCATAATTTAATGATTGATATGGTTACATTTTAGGATAATCAGTTGAAAGGTCACAGAGGTAATATTACCTATAAACAAGAGTTGAACAAGTACAACTATATATATATACAGGTGGGTTGGTACAGTATTCATTTGGCATTAATATGCTTAATATCCAAAATCAGTTCATCAGGAATCATTTTGACTTCTATTTATATGTTCTTATTACCATTTTACATTGTAGGTGATAGAGCAGCTTGCACACCAGGTCCAGGATCTGGAGAGGGACAGGAGGAAGAATGAGGTCAAGGTTCATGACCTAGAGCACCAGGTCAACACCCTAACCACAAGACTGACTGAAAACAGGGGGCAACATAATGTAAGCTTCTTTTTTTAAAATTAGTTTTTCCTTATTTGTCATAACTATAATAATATTAATAATAATAAATATTGTAAATTTATATTAAACATTTTCTAGACAAATATATTTAACTGTGCATAACGCTATAACAAGAACAAAACCAGACTTTTACAAGTACTGCATGTTCCGGCGTTCAATACATCAAAATATATGAACTTACAAATTCTGAATTTGGAGGTGAATATAATGTTATATATTGAACAAAGATAGTATGTATCATAATGTGATATATATGCTCATAAAAAAGAATGTATTATTATTATGGATTTCAGCTCATCTTACTGTACATTAATAACTTATCAAAACTTTTAATAAATTGATTACTCAAAATCTCTTGTGTATAATTAAAGAGATTTTCCAACCTTAATTGACATTTCTTCTTGATTGAAACTTCAAAGCAGACGGAACAGCAGATTGAAGGTTGGCAGAGAGATGTAAGGAATCGTTTAGATGAACTCCATGAGCGAGTCACAAGACAGATGACAAACGGTGGAAGCAACGATGCGTACAACAGTGAGGGCGCTCTTGCAATGCTTGCCAGAGATCTCCATGAAGCGTAAGGATATATTTAAACAAAAATAAGCATTTAGAAATAATAATAGGCTTGAGCATTTGTGTGTGTCAGATATGACCCCAACAGAATGCTGGAATGGACTTTCATGAGTTATATATACTTTCATCTGTTGAAAAGGAGTTTTTAAAACTAATCAGTTAGAATGAAGAAAGAAAAAAAAAAATTTACTTGTAAAGAGAGAGTTTACCGGTAAATTTTTGAGATAATGAAGATTTAACAATTTTTTTAAAAACTGACCATAAAGCTGTAGTACTTTGCATTTATACTAACTTTTTCTTTTGTAATGAATAAGTGTATAACATATTGTACTGAAGATACAGCTACTGCATTTTGAAATTTACATTGCTTAAGTTGACATTAAATTTCATTCAGTTAATTTTCCATTTTATTTATATGTAATTTATTTTTACCTCTGTGTCAGTACACGAAACTCAGTGTAAAACAGAGGTCAAATTTTCAAATTTTCAAATTTTCTCATGTTAAACGATTGGTCAATCATATTCTTTGTTGTAGGAAGCGAATGCTGCAGGGAGAATACAACGCCCTCCATCATGAGATAGAGACACTGAGAACAAGACTGGTCAAGCAAGAGATGGACGTTACCGGTCAGCTGATGGAAGGGAAAGAGATGGGCCGGAAAATGGACAGGCTAGATAGGGTAAATCATATTGACCTCATCATACCTATGTATCGTAGTCGAGTGGTTTAAGCACTTGATTTGAAATTCAAAGATCGTGGTTCGATCCCGACAGAGCACTAATGTCCTTTGGCAATGCATTAATCTTCATTTGTCACACTCGACCCAGGTGAGGTAAAAGGGTACCTGGCAGGAATTAATTCCTTGAAAAGCTGGAGCGCTGCAATGGCAGCTAGGCTAAAGCGGGAGTAATAATTAATGCGCCTCGGAATAGAATCTCTAGATCAATGGCGCTAGAGAAATGCCTATCATTATTATTACTATTTTATTTTAAAAAACTCAAGTCTTGATGTTAATGTTGTGTCCATTTTCGTTTGTTTTGAGCCAAAAGGGCATCAACTCTTGTGCTTTCACACAAGTTATTGCCCTTTTGGATCTCAAGATCTCAAGATGATATTGAAGATTATATTACAGGGGTGTAGTAGTGAAATAGTTTAAGATTTGCCAATGTTGTTGTGGTGGTGGTGGTAAATATTTGTCATATTCATATGAATGTGTTTTCATGTGTCCAGCAGTGCACTATGTGTAATGCTATGTAATGTAGCTGATCTTACGTACACCAATTCAGGAAGTTCAAGGACTTTTCCAATCATGAAATCATGAATTGGATTAAAAAACATTTGTTGATAACATAATGTCTAAGTAATTATGACAGGCTACATCGAAATATGGTTTTCCTGTAATGTTTTTTTAAGGGATATAATTGATTGATTTATATTTATTTCCTTTAGATATTGAGTATGGGTAACTTATGTTTTTGAACAAGTACGGTATACGTTGCATAATAGAAGGAGGCGAAAATTTGAAAAATAAAATTTATACTGTCTTTTTGAACAATAACAAACATAGGTTGATGCATAATGCACAGCTGCCAACCATTCCTATTTTGGAGGAATGCTTCCTATTTTTGGGCCCTCAAACTACTATTGTGAACCCTAGATACCTCTCTCTCTCTTTCTGAAAGCTTCTGCGTAAAAAGTATACAAAAGAGACTTTATTCCTAATTTGGCCTTGCAAGATTCCTAATTTTTGCTGTGAATGGTTGGAAGGCATGATAATGTTTCAGGTCCCGCCGTGGCACTAATGTCCTTTGGCAAGACATCGATCTACATTTGCCACTCTCCACCCAGGTGTTAAATGGGAACCCGGTAGGATGCTCCCCAGGAAGTGGAGAATGTGCATACATTGTGTGCGGGTAAGCCTGAATTTGATGACTGGGGTAATATATATCTGTAAAGCGCTTTGAGAGGGCCTTCGGTCCTGTAAAGCGCTATATAAGAACGAACTATTATTATTATTACATTAGCACTCCTATTTTTCTCTTTTCCTATCTTTAACCCCTAGAAGCTTGGAAAGGTACAGTCAGACCAACAGCTGGTGCTATCCCATCACCTTGGGTTATCGTCAAGCTCTCATCAACCCCCTTCCAGGCTCTACAGCGACCAGAAAGACATCACAGATCTTAAGTAAGATTTACTCTGCTTACTTACTCTTCTAAAATTTATGAATGGATTAAGTCAGAATGATCTCTTGGGAATGTTTGGGTTTGAAGTCTTTATATTATTCAACGCTTTGTTTTGTTGTTGAATTGAGCATATGCGTTTTTTATTTTTTCAGAAGATAAACTTTATTATGCATTATCTCTTTCAGCAAAAGATGGCTATTTGCAAGTTCAATTAAATTTATTTAATTCACAAATACAAAGATAAAATATGAAATAGAATTGTGCCTGGGAAATTGCGATATAAAATTTGTGACATAAATTTTCAATTCAATTCAATCAAGGTGTATTAAAGACATGAATGGCAGTCATAGACTGAATTGTACATGCTTTCACAGTGCAGGTAAAATGCAATGCAAGTATAAAATAACAAAATGAGATGAGAAAAATGGAATTGAATATAATGTGTACAAGCATGATTTAAGTTTGATTGGTGAAATTAGAGTAAAATATGCATTGGTTATTTTCCTTATTGCCTTTGCTTTGTTCTAGGATGGAGATGAGTAAGCTACTAGCTTCATTCAGCAGGCTTGAAAGTGCTTCTCAAGTGTCCCGCTCCAGCAATGGATCAGCGCCCTCTACTGTCTCCGCCACCACTGTATCTTCCAGCATCAGTATGTTTTAACTTGTGTTCACATTGTTAATATAGTGGTGAAGCTGCATTTATAAAGTGCATTATATTATATAATTGTATGCACTTTATGTGGTATACAATTGAAAACATGGTGATATGAGCATATGGAATGAAAATATATGTCTCCTACTTTTACTGATGATAGAGCAATATAAGTATTACTTAACTTATATTTTACTATTCGATAAACTACTTGAAAAGAATTACTTTATAATACCATCTATGATACTTCATTATTGATAATAGTAAAATCCAATTCTATCTTTAATAATGATAGCAACAAAGGGGTCTAATTATAGCTCTTACCCCATAAGAAGATTACAATCTGTTTTCACTAAATGTAGATAAAATAAGTTTCATCACCAGGAAAAGACTTCAAAGGTAATACAAAGTTTTGGTATGGGGTCATGAAATTGGTTCAAATGAAAATATTGGATGCATATGCGATTTTACAATATTCAATGATCATTGTCACGGTTGAAATCGAGTCTAAAGTGATGAAATTGTAAATAATAAACTCTTTATGTTGTATAGCTCCCTCTCAAGACTGATATTACTTTAGCTTTAAAACAATGTTTCTTGACTACACTCGATTGATCAGCTATTCCCGTTTTAAAATTATATATCAGAACTACATATTCTGAGATTTTCATGGTCGCAGCTACCATGGAATGGCCTTAGGCGCTATTTGAAATGATTATTCAAATTTCTTGAAAGCAGAAGTGTTTTAAGGGCTAACATCTATATTACTAATACCACTAATCGCCGCGGGGGGTCCAAACGGGTACAAAACGGTTCCTCAAAAACGTCTTTCCCCGACCCCGCCCCCCTCCGCCGTGGCGCGGGGACGGCGGCACAATTCCACGAGGCCTGTCTCCCGTAACCCGCGTGCCACCTCGACCCCGCGATCGACGTCCATGCCGTTAAACGCGGTTTCGGGGTGCCGGGGAGGACGGGCGGACGAGAGCACGGCGGGCGTCGTGGATTGCGAGGAGGCGACGAACCCGCGAGAGCGAGTCGGCAAGGCGTGCACCCGCCCTCTGTCTAATTATCAAAGAGAGACGAAGAGACACACGATGGACGAGAATCCACTCGCGTCAACGGGTGTAGCAAGTCTCATTGAAAAAGCTGCGGCGTATCCCGAGTAAGACCTCTTGCTATAGGGTTCGCTTTGTAGCATGTAAGAGAAATACACATCAACAGACGACTCACCCGGGTGAGGGGATGTAGCCAATATGTATCCTCAACGGGTTGAGCTTACCCGTGCTATGCGTCTTTCTATAGGATATGCTTTGTAGGCCAGGCGCCCACAGTGTACGTGTATTACACGCTCTCAGGTCACACACATGCACACACCACAGTCGATTCGATCGAGGCGATTGCGACAACTGGCGCAAACCATGGACCTCTTTTCACGTAAAATCTTTACTCTGAAAATAATTATACAAATTCTGTGATCTATGCCAACATAATCATAGTCCAAGCTTCTGTTTTATTGGTCTTTTCATGAAAACTACATCGAAATCACATCAAGAATAGCGCAAATAGATCTGTGATAGTACGCCTTCACGTGACAGTTCAGTTGCAAACTGCCTTGAGTCCACAGTGTATTGCCACGGCAGCTGAGCGCCGCTGTCGGCGGTGCTAGCTGTCGGAGCTGAGTGTGTGAGCATGGAGTAGCCAGGTCTGTCCGTGGGTGTGAGGAGAGTCTAAACAACACTTTGAAATTGCTATTATTGCTCCGATTTCAATATAGTTTCGTGAATAGATGTATGAAACCTGGGCTTAGATTGTGATTATTCTGGCCATGTATAGTTGTATACTGAATTTCGATAATCATTTTTCACAAGAAAATCAGACGGTCGTCATGGTCGTTTAAAAACATGATAATACTTTTAGTATGATACAGTTCTTGCATCAAATCAATTTTTAAAGTATGGGGGGGGGGGGGGGGTCAGGTAACTCAAAGCGATTTGAGTGCAGGCGTGGTGTCCACGGGTACAAAGGGCTAAACCCCCGAAAGCTCAGGGGTTTTAGCGTTTTAATTACGGTCAGATGAGCATATTTTTAATGCCTTATTTGTGACACTGGCAGGTCGATCACTAATTGGCGTGGGGTCCATAGTAGAGTTGCGTACCAACTACGCTGAGCTGAGAGTACGCTGGCCTACGTTACTATACCCTGAGGGACGCAAAAAAGTACGCAAGATAGACGCAAACAATTTAATATGTTTAACAAAATTCACGTACTTTCGGCGTAGAAACTTGACGCAGAAAGTACGCCTTTTTTTACGTAACACTACGCTACTAAACTAAACAAACTGCATCTTTAAATGAATTAATGAAAAATTAGCCCAAGAAAAATGAGCCCCCGAAATATAAAAAAAAGTAGCCCCCAAACATTTTCCCAATATTTGATATAGATCGAGTCCCCGAAAAAAAAAAATCTTTCACTGGATTCTACGCTCACAGTCCCACACACAGTCGAGTAAATTTGTGCACAAACCGTCAGATTTTTCGCGTAAAATCTTTACTTTGAAAATAATTATACACATTTTGTGAACAATGCCAACATAATCATAATCCAAGCCTCTGCATAATTATGTAGTCTTTTCATGAAACTACATTGAAATCACAACAATAATAATGCAAATAAATCGTAATTATCGAGATCCTATCTGACATAGTTTGTTTTACGATGCGCCATTCATGGTCAAACAGCATATATTATAAAAATTCTCTATATAAAGATAATCTTAATTTTTTTTGGATAGCACATAGGCCTCTATCTATCTATCTATTTGGCCCCCTCCCCTAGAATCCCGTGGATTTTCCACGGGTCCTGCTAGTTTCTAGTATAAATGGAATGAATACAAAGTACTAATATCTACACATTGCTTTTGATTTTTTTAGGTAGCAGACGACACAGGTCCTATCCTTCCTCTGTGTCCTCATCCAAGGGGCCGATAGCTGCATCGTCGCCATGGCAACGATCGGGACATCATCATTACCAGGACAGAAAGAAGAAGATGACAAGGGGGGCCAAAATAGGGACCAAAATAGGGAACAGCGACGGAAGTAGCACGAGCATCGATGACCTGAGCAGCTCTGAGATCTCTCTGCCTCTCAGCATCAGTCATGGGGAGGAGGAGGAGGATGATGAGGAGAAGAGGAGACGGAGCATGCAGGGTGGAGGAGGAAACCAGTTGGTGGTTGATGATGATGATGAAGACGATGAGGATGTCGATGATTTCCAAGGTGAGGGTTGTAATTAAGAGCTACTGAGTCGTAGTATATCCAGATTAAATCTTTCTGAACTTCACAAATTGTTACTACTTGGACGAATAACTAGTCCGTATAGTATCTCCTCCCTAAATTGTCTAAGGGACACTTTATTAATTGGTAATAATTTTAAATGGGGTAATTGTCCTGGACTAGTCATTGAAATTCACCAAATACCTCTCATAAGACAAAGAATTTTATAACACTGACATTTAAAAAAATATTTTAAAAATGTTCTTGTGATCCGGGGTATAGATGAATGTTTACCAGTTTAGTAGCGCTTTGTGTGTGTTATATATTAGTTTATCAAAACCATCTGTCTTCTTTTTAGCATAGAATATGAGATGTGACTATTATTTTTTACGTGCCTGTAATTTGTAGCGTTTGCTCATTTGCTGATGCAATTAGCTTTTTAAGTTCTCCATATATATGTCTGAAAAATTGACTTGTTATTTAGTGAAGCAGTTGAAAACCCAGCATTCTTCCAAGATAATACATTATCTTTTCTTTCTCTTTTCCTGCACCGTACAGATGACCTCAGCCTTTACCTGTCTGACCTAGATGTGAGTCACAAGGGTGAAGAGTTTGGAAGCACCATCTCACTGGACTCTGGAAACCTTGACCTTGATTTCATGTGAGAGAGACATTCAGATGTGGATTTGAACTTTGAACTTTGAACCTTGACTCTGCCGTGCTAAGTTTGCAAGAGAGACCTGTCTGACCTAGATGTGAGTCACAAGGGCAAAGAGTTTGGAAGCACCATCTCACTGGACTCTGGAAACCTTGACCTTGATTTCATGTGAGAGAGACATTCGGATGTGGATTTGAACTTTGAACTTTGAACCTTGACTCTGCCGAGCTGAGTTTGCAAGAGAGACTTTATCAGGAGTAGGAAGGCATAATGTAGCTGCTTAGTTTGATATGAAATATCCAACTGTTACATAAATGCTGTCAATTCAGACTTGGGGGTCATAAAAATATTGAGAAAAATGATTCATTGTGAACTACTACGAGTAATTAGTATGCTGTTTTAATCACATGAATATTGTTGAAGGTGATTTTAAATTGAGCAGTTTCTATAAAGCAATATCTCTCGCTGCACTAGGATTATTTTTCTGGTAAATTCCGACTTTGGACGAGAGAGAACCTTGAGATTTTTAGTTGTAAAATGAATAGTAATATTCTGTGTGAGCGATGTGAATATTGTTGCAAATTGCAAATTCCTTCCATACTGACATCATTTTACTGTGTCCTTCTTTCTTTTGGTTGAAGAAAATGTTGTGAATCAATAATCACCATGCTGTTTGAATTTTTTTTTTTTTAAAGTGATTTTGATATACGGTATGCAATTTTTATCATATCTTTATCAAGTTGCAAATTCTCTGCATACTGACATTGTTTTACTGTGCTCTGTGGTGATTTTAAAAAAAAGAAGATTTTTTGTGAACCAATGATGACAATGCTGTTTGGATATTGTTTGAGTATTTTTAATTCAAGGTTTTTCAACATAGCTGTATTAGTCACAATATTACACATACACTGTAATGGCATTATTTACTGTTCAAATCTGACTTTGGAGTAAATATAAGCATTAGATATCAGATTGTGAACCAATTACCGGTTTGCTGTTTGAATGATTTGATATCAATCATTGAAAGTGATTTGATTTCGTAATGCAGTTTCAAAAGAGCATTATCAAATTAAAAATTGTGTCCTGTTTGAAATTATGATAAAGCATATATACACCAGGATGTGGTAGATGCAGGTCATAATGCTGTTAATTAATGAAAGTGGTTTGAATACTGGGATAAAGTCAGCATTGTTTACTAATTATGCCTGCGCCCACCAAATGTGGTAACAGAGGCATTATGTTTTGGGTTGTCCGTTCGTATGTCCGTCTGTCCGTCCCGCTTTCTCGTTATTGCTATAATAATTCCATCCATGTCCTATACTGAATTTAGGGCGGAGGCATATAGGCGACGCAGCCGCATTTGTCCTGTCTCTTCGTACTCTCACTCTATGGGCAGTCTCACTTTTTCTTCTTCATGATTTCTTCTAGTATAGTAACCTGAAAGTGAGGATATACTGTACGTGTATATACGTAGATAGCAATATTATACTAGTCTGCAAGCACAAACCCTGATCAGTCGTAAAAGTGAGTCTGCACTAAAAGACTACCATAGGCCATGCACTGTAGCTGCTCCTGACACAGGACACAACCAGTAGGTAGCTGGGCTAGGCTTCTCTCAAGGCACAATGATTTTTTTGATAAAGTGTCAAATTAAGGTCTGTGCTTGCAGACTAATATTATACAGTGAAACCTCATTATAAAGCGCTCTGATATAACAAGGTATCTGTTATAACAAGGTATCTGTTATAAAAAGGTGATTTTGCTGGTCCAAGCTTTTCATACTCTTGTTTTTTTACCCTTATGTAACAAGATTCCTGATATAACGGTAGTTTCCATGGTCCCAAGGACGTCGTTATAAAACTTAGGTTCCACTGTAGTGTATTAATATGTGTTTTGTGATAATCTGTCATTATTCTAAACTTGGTGCAGACAAATCAGTTTATTTGTATTCTTGTTTTTTATGTGTATAATCATGCTCTATGCAATAGGTGTAGTAGGATAGAGGGTAATATCTTATGAAATGCAATTAGAATCTGCAAATTATGTACGTGTGCTGAAGAAGTAGCTTGTGTATTGATAGTGTATTGATAAACATATACATGTATGTAATTTGTAAATGAATGGAACCTATGTGGTTTCCATTAAATGTCAATGGGTAGAAAGGTCCCTGGGCACTTAATAGACAACCAATATCTTTTTTTTGTGAAATGCAATTACATGCAATCAATTTTTTTTGAAAGATTTAATTTAATTATTTACATGAGGGTAATAATCGGGAGCGCCAGGAGTGTCAAGTCGGACAGACATGAGCGCTATACAAGAACCCACTATTATTATTATTATGAGATATTTATGAAATGCTCTGTTAATATAATCATATGACTAAATTCCCTTGTAAATCAAGACATTTTAAAGTTTCTTTAATTTTATGTCAGTTGGTTTTATCACATTAGGATGCAGTTTGCTGTCTTATAGGATTTGATATGTCTCTTTTGGTCTGGACCCTCATGCATTATTGAGTGTAATTTGAATATTAGTAGGTTTGGGTTCTAGCCCCAGGTTTTCAAGAAAATCACTGAAAATAGAAGAATTTTAGTAAAATAATTGCTCTAATTAGTAAAGCGCTGCCTTCTCCTTTAAAAAGAAGTCAGGACGAGAAACTCTTTACTTTTTTTACTTGGCATATTCAGTCCTCATTATTAATAATAATATTCCAAAACTTGTGTGATCTGTTAAGACCTACATCTGTACTATTCAAATTTGAAAATGTGATTCAATCCCTTTGTTCATGACCAAATTTTGATATCATGATCATTATTAAGTCATTCTGCAGAAATTTCATCTACTTGGGTGTGAAGAAAGAGGCCCCATATGTTGTCACAAGATTTAGGTTGATGAGTTTACATGCAGAGCAAATGTCAACTTCTTCGTGTGTATATAAATACAAGACTATATGGTATTCAATTTATTTATTGTACAAACAATGATTGGTAAATAACTGATGAGAATAAAATTGTGATCCATACTTCCATGGTATGTGTTTTGTGTGAGCCATTTTTTGTTTTCTTATAGCTCATTATATTTCAAAGATATTACAATGTTGATATTATTTTAATATTTTGATATTCAAAAGACATAAGAGTGCTAATTTACCGGTAAGACATATGGGAGTTATCATGGTGCAATGTTTTCTATTTATTGTCTGAATGCTTTTGGCTTTTCATAGGCCCATATTGTACAGAACAGGTCCCAAATGCATTCTCACTGAGTAAAACCAACTGGTATCACTGCCCCATCATTAAAACTTTCACCAATCAATTTCTCAGATTTTTCTGCTTTCCTCTAGAGTAGCTGAGTATCGAGTGATCGATATATCGAGTGATCAGTATCGAGCTAGGTTGGGAGGCTTGTTATATAGCCATCGCGGATCGTGGATTCTTTTGGGCAAGAATGTGTGTGCATGTGTGTGTGTGTGGTGTGGGGGGGGGGCTAGCTTTAATTCTGTGAATTGACTTGTACATTAATTATGCCCCAACCGTCGTTCAACCATATTCTGTTCTGACCTGCATGACCCCGGTCATGAAGTGAAGTCTGGAAGTTGGGATAACCTTGGCGAATTCTAATATGTATGTTTTAATCGTTTTATACAGTGCATCCCAGAAAAAAACGAAATCGAGAATTATTGATGTTTTATCATAACTTAATCACAATTATAATTAATAAATAACACATATTTCTAAAGCTTAGATCTTTCATTTGATGCAACTCATATGATACAAATTTAACGTATGATCGATTCAAAACAATTTGAAGAGAGGAGGGTACCAAAAAGTCATTTTGTGGGCGGTATCTGAATCTATAAAAAAATTTTTAAAAAATCTGTATATTTTTTGAAGCTCCCATTTAAAAATTAAGTGAAGAACCCCTGGGGGAATACTCAGATTTGATTTGGACGGGGGTGTGCTGCCTAAGCCTCAAAACCCCTACCCATTTTTAAGGGTCATTGGGGAGGGGGGGGGGATTTCTCTCTAAGGAAATTAGCCCATTATTCACAATTTTCGGGTGCCATGCAAAGACTCGAAAAATTGTGGAAATTTTGAAAAACCGCCATGTTTAGGGATATTTTTGTTAAAATGCATTGTTTGGGATTTTTTATAAAAAAGGGAACCATTTAGAGCGGCCCACTCCCGTATGTCTTAGTATGTGAGTACCCCCCCCCCCCCTCCCCCTGGTTGAAGAACATGCAATCCCAAGCCCCGATAGAGCCCCCAATCCTTCAAGAACAGTTCCGCGCACTGCAATATGCATCACCGACAAGTCGAGTTACGTAATCTGACTTATCTTCTCAGGATCGACTGGTGACGTTCAGCAGCGGGTAAGTCTACCGCCAATTTATTATATAGACCCTAGTTTTCTTAATTCTATAGAGTCTAGTTTGTCTATTTGCATAAAAGAGTTACTGAAAATGTTTCGTAGTATAAATGGTATGACTGAATGGTAGTGTTCTTCAAAGATTGTGCCCGAAAGGCGAAACTGTGGTTGAAAAAAAAATGCTCAAACTATCGAGCCCACGATGTTGTGGTCCCGCACGTATACTTTTCCGTGTGCTTTAGTTATCATTACTTGGGAACAGCTGCGGGATGTGCAACGGCGCGGCCGCTCCACGCCTCTCTCTCGGTACAGACGCCCTGCCGGACGGTCCCGCATTCTCCACCACCGACCACTCATAAGAGCATTATCTAGTATAGTTTTTGTGTAAATAAACAATGTCAAGACCATCTGTTGATTCTCAAAATGATCAAACACCACTGTTAAAAAACTCTCAAAAATTCAATCAAGATCAACTAGCAAATTGAAATGCCAAAAATCACCGACGCGATGACGATGTTCATGTTGGAAAAAATACTTTGAAAATCTAGATTCTAGACTAAATTAGAAATCTACTGTTTAGTTTTGTTAACTGCCACACATGTGTGTCTTTATAACTAAGTTTATGCTAAAACATATCCTCAAAGGTAGTTTTTAGTAGACTGATTTTTAGCCTTTTTCAGGTCTAGTTTTTGCCAACTGTTGTCAAAGAAAGATGGATCATATACAGTGAGAAGAAGAAGGGACAAAAAAGGAAAAACTACAGTAGCTCTATGGAAAAAGATGGGACTGTTTTATATATTTTTAAAAATGTTGACAGATATTATGTTGTTCGAATTTAACTGGAGAAAGATTGCAGTCTTTTAACAGAGGATTCAAACAATATTATCTTATGGTTGCATTCTTTATCTAATTACTAAACTTCCTCATCATTTGTATAGATTATTTTACGTTTGTACAACATGCAAATATGAAACAAGAACCAATGAAAATCATATCAATCTAAAAAAAAAATTAAGAACAAACATAGGAATTATATTCTGAATTTCTGATGCAATATTATTGTCTTTGGAATGCTCTGTCTAATGAAATGAGAAAATGTTCATCATGAAAAAGCTTTAGACAAATATTCAGAACAGATGTTGTTCTATTGATGCATCTATTGTAAAAATTATATAATATACTTTAAAATATTCCAGTCAGATTGTTTACATTGTACATAGTTTTAATTGAGTTATAAACTTATGACTTATTTTTCATAATAACAGAATCATTTCATCATTAGTGCAA